AAGGTGGTCTTCTGTTCTGATTTATGCACACATATATTGATACTTGGTTTCATTGAACTCTTATTTAGATATGTTATTGCCTTACATATTCAGTACATTTTCTCGTACTGACGTCCCTCGCGGGGGACGCTGCATTTCATGTTGCTGGCACAGGTACTCCAGCTAGTAGACCTTCTCAATAGGAGCATATGACACTTAGTTACTTTTGGTGAGCTCCAGGTTGCTTCGGAGCTTTACTGAGTCCTTGGTAGATTCATTTTGTTATTGTATCGTAGTTAAGGGTAAGGCGGGGTCTATCCCGGCCTACTCTAAGGATTTCTATCTTTTAGACGCTTTGTAGACTTGTGTATATGGTTCAGTTGCGTCTTAACAAGTTGTGGCCTCGACGGCCAAGTCTTGTATATAAGTTTTTGGTCTACTTATGTCAGTTCGTATCGTTGCATCCTATGTGAACTTGTCACAAGATTGTCATAGTTACATGCATAGTAAGCACATGTTACATGTTGGTTCTCTCGGGCCTTTAGGGTATTGAGTGCATGTCCGTCTTAATTGGAATTGAGGCGTGACAGCTAGCCTAGATGTAAAATGTAAATGCACTAATCTTGTTGATGATGAAAACATAAAGAAAATTAATGAGTGTATGAGAGTTTTCTTTGATATATCACTTTCACAATGTTTACTAGTTATTAAAAAAATTTAATTAATTTATCAATTTAGGCAACACAAAGTGTCACGTCCCGAGTCTACATCCTGGACGTGGCTGGCACTCGAGGACCATTTTTGATCCTCAAGCGAACCCTTGGCCTGTATGACAATTTAGTTGAAGACTTACTCAAGAATAATGAAGCTTTAAAATGGAATTTATAACATTCAAACTCAAGTAAATACTCAACTCAGATGTCGAAAAATACTTAAGTGGAATAATAATAATACTTTGCAAAACAATCTCAAAACGTCTCAAACAAGAGGGAAATACTGAGAAACTCATCAACACTAACTATTTATGAAGCTTCTAATACTAGGATAGAAGTCGAGACAAGACCCACGACAACTCAACAATAACATGAAAGTAAATTGTAAAATCCTCCAGAAGGCAAGGAGGATCACAAAAACAGTGTGAAGCGCAAAGTGATCTCAATGAAATGCCTGTTGATGATCCTAAACACTTGTATCTATATCATAAAATATGCAGGTCTAATGACATCAGTACATTGAATGTATGAGTATGTAATATAACTGAATAGCAAACAACTGAATGAAAAGGTTGCAATAGATATAGATATATACTCGACTGAATGTAAAGAAATAAGGAAGTGAAATCATTAAAAATTTACAAAAATACTTTCTCATTCTCTGAACTTTAACATAATAAGTGATATATAAAAAAACACTTTAACTCTATTGGGAGATTCTCTAACCGACAATCATCACTATGAGCTAAATGATGATACATCGTCTTGTCCACACTTGTAGAACTGTCCTATAGCTTGTCAGGATATATAACACCTCAACTAAGTGGATCCACTAAGCTATGCATGAAGGCTCTAAGGATTCATAAAAAACGTATGATCTTGTACCCATGTTGGCAAGACATGATTTATGGGGGTTGTGAGTTTTATGAACTCTCCCTCATATCGGTGCTCAATACTACTCCCAATAATATTTACCTTTGCTCAATGTATAAAAACATTTCTCTTTCTCTAGTTTGAGATAATTGTTCAACTATCCTCTTAAACAAGGCAACTGCTCTGAATTAACTCTGAACTAATTACTTGTTTAGAAAATCAAAGTTTCTCTTTTCTTACAATAAAAAATGATAAATTTGGGGGTCAATAATTCCCTTAAGCTTTACTCAATATGCCTCTTTAAACTTTTCTCAAAAACTATTTTTCACCTTATGAGAAAATCAATTTAAGATAATTATTCGGTTAAAAATATTCTCATCAATAACTCAGTGAATACTTCAAATAATAGGGTTCATGCTGAAAAATAAGTATGAATAATCAACTCAAGAATCTCAATACATAATATATAGCAACTCGAAAATTAGGAATTAACAACTTGGAATTCAACAACGAACTCATCTAAAAAATTATCAAAACTAAAGATGTAACCCTAGATTATTCTTTACTGATAGAAATTAGATGTAGGGTATGAGGATGAACTCATTCCATCACTATGATATTCTTACATACCTTGGAAGAACAAAGTTCTTGGCGAAATCGATGAAATTCGAAGAACGATAGAAAACCCTAGATTTTCTCCTCTTGAATCATTGCTCTAAGTCTTTCCAGTGTTAAAGAACATAAAATAATGTTTTAACACTGTTTAGACCTTAATTAAGTGAAAAAATGTTGTGGGTTAGGTTTAGAGAGGGTGGGAAAAAACCGAACTACCCCTCTTTAAAAGTTGTCAAAAACTATCCACGGGACCACCTAAGAGTCGTGGTTTGAAGCACGGACCGTAGATCCCATCCGTGGATTCTATATTGAGTTTTTAAAGCTCAAAAGTCTATTTACGTGTCCAAACGACGGCCAGTAGGTCCACCTACGACCCGTCGGTTGGATCCGTAGGATTTGGGTCCCCAAAGCTGACCCCCAGTACTCTAACAATGGCCTGACAGGATGGGTCGTCGTTCTACCCACTACATGTTGGCTAAGGTCGTCGTTCACAGACTCAGAAAAATGTGGTTTGACAGACTTTGGTAAAACGGTCATAACTTTTTACTCCGGACATGAAATAAGGTAAACTTGGTGGGTTTGGAAAGAAGATTAAAAGACCTTTAATTTGGTAGGTCATAGGCCACATAATTCATTATTTGCTGGTAAATATGATCGTTTGAAGTTGACCTAAGTAGAATCTTATGTCAAAACCTAATCGAAAATGAATATTTCAGCTCAACTTTGTGCTAGGGTGTTCTTGTCACCGTAAATCATATCCAAATCCATTCGAACACAAAATAAATGACCTTTACACATGTGAATAACTTAAGGATCACCTGATTCCATTTTACAGGTAATTAAAAAATGGTTCTGGCCTTAGCTTAGAATTTTTCGGAGTGTTACAAAAAGCATCATTAAAGACTAAGGAGAGAAAAAATGACTTAATATCATACGAAATCCAGAACCTTTTATTTGTAATCTAAAACCTCATATAGATCGATAATTGATTACTAAAAACAAGTGAATTAATTTAAAAGACAACAATTTATCATGATAGAAAACTCAATCGCTAGTAAAGTCTTATCCAAGCATAGCTTCAATTTTAAGAGCTCTGACTATAAACTCCATGATAATTCTGAGTTCAAGATTCTTCCTCCTCTTCTGGCTCAAGGGAAACATTTAAATCAAACTTCAGATGCTCGACCAAAATAGAGCTTTGTGTTTCTTTTTTAATCTTGTCTACCCGCAACTTCAATGCCAACTTTTGCTCCTCCATATGTTTATCTTGAGGTATTTCTGAACTAGGGTGAAGAATCTTATGCATTAGTAGTCATTTTTTTTCTTTCTCGTTACATGTTTGCAATTCTTTATGGAGATCTTCCAATGCCTCAAAATAATTTGATTTGCCCTCAGCATATTCACGTTGGTGATCCTCTAGTTTCACTTTGAGAAATTTTTCAATTATTTCTTCTATGCTTGTGGAACCATAGGAACATGGTTTTCCACCTGGTGAAAAGAGCATCACACCAACTTCAGCTCCAGTCCGAGTTGCAAACTTCTTTGCATCCTGAAACAAAGTTTTTTTTCTTTTTGAGAAACTCACAGCACGATCTCTCTCAGACTCAATGAACTTCATTTCAATTTTTTGCTTGCCTTTTTTGGTCTCATTTTCCATTGCAAAAGAAAATGATTTGAAGAAGAAAGTAATATATTTTTGTTGAATAAGGTTGAGCAATTTTAAGAGGAACACTCGTTTAATTTATAGTAGGTGTGTGAGTGTACTGCTCACGAGTATTGTAATGTTTTCTTGTTATGAGTCTAGGTATCACATGTATTGTCATGTTTACTTAATGCTTTCATATTACGAGTCTATCTATTTATTTTATGCTTTCATATTACGGGTCTTTCTATCACGTATGTTTTCACATTTTTTAATGCATTCATATTATGAGTCTATTATCACATTCATATTACAAGTATATATTTTCATATTATGTGATTCTATTACAAGATTACCTTGTAACTCAACAAAAATTATGAAGTTGCAAGGTAATAATGCCGAATTAAATTTAAAGAAAAATAAAAAAATAAACAATGCTTACATATATATGATGATGTTGAAGGTGGACCAATTAGAGAAATGGTAGAATTATCTCTTTGTGACCTATAGGTCACAAGTTCGAACCATAAAAGCGACCACTAAAAATGATATTGTCAATTGTGCATCACAACTAAACCCTTACAAAAATTCTACTAATGCAAAATGTTTTATGCAATGACTGGGTTATTCTATTAATATACTATCAATGTTAATTATTTTGGATTTCCACATTAAATTGGTAGAGGTTACTTGGTTTCTATATATGATCTTGAGAAATTCTTTCTTCATGGGATAGCTTTTGCGGTTAAGTTATGCCTAAGATTTATTTGTTTAACATGGTATAAGAGTCATGTTCATCCCAATTCATTATTTATCAATGTTCTCCCTCCCCCTTAATCTTACATTGGCCACACACCAAATGCACAAGTGCTCGTCCACCTGTATTAATTTGATGTTAACACTTGTTATTCAAATTTAATAATATTCGAGAAAATTATATTATGCACTGTACATGTGTAGCTTAGCCTATAGATCTATTATTTGAATAAGAAGTATGTGTATTTCATTTATCTACAAATTTTAGTACCTCAGCTACTTGAACATCACCTTTTGGTGAGGATTCGATATCTCGCATAACTTTCACCTTGTTGGTCACTACCTGGAAATTTAACAATAATTTAAAGGTAAACAATCTCTCAACCCCGACTCATACATAGTAAGAGTAAAATTTGTGTATACCTGCACTCTTCAGACTCTACTTGTGAGATGTTACTGGTATTTGTTGTTGTTATGACAAGGTTCAATGATAGTTAGAATAGATATGGTATTTTGTAGCCCTGGTAGACTAGTAAAATGGGCTTCATAACTTATTAATCTTAAAGATGTGGGCCTGAAGTAGCTAGCCGGTACACACGTTCAAATAAGAGTTTTTCTTAACCCAATTAAAAATACATGACACATTTTTATTACATATACTATGATTTCTAAATCGTGATTAATTAATACTCATTTGACGTTGATTTATAATTTAATCGTAGTATATTTATATATTTGATGGTAACACAATAAACTGTGAGTAAATAGTTTACAGCATACCAATATTTAAGTAAGTTGGACATAAAAACTAACTTTGTTTTAGGCACAACGGATTTGAGGCCTCATTACCATTTCAACAAGCAAGTGAATCATTTGCTTTAGGCCCAAAATATTTGAGGCTCAAAAGTTATTAAAATATTTATTTGGGATAAGACACAAGCACCCCCCTAGACTATGACCGAAATTTCAAAGACACACCTTAACTAAACTAAGGTCATATTACTCTCCTGAACTCATTTTTTTTTAATTCTGCACACCTTTTCGCTTACATTGCACACTTTGTGAGTCCAGTTAGTAGAGGCGTGTCGAATATGTTTGGAGCCCACGTATGCTAAAAAGGTGTACAGAATTACAAAAGAAATGAATTCAGGGAGTAATAGGACCTTAGTTTAGTTATGGTGTGTCTTTGGGATTTTGGTCATAGTCTAAGTGGGTACTTGTGTCTTATCCCTATTTATTTAAATATTTCTTATCATTTGTAGAAGTAGTACAACATTTTTCATTTAATAAATTTCTATGCTCTCTTTTTATCAATTTGTACAATCTAATTATTGATCTAAACTCCGCACTTAGTTGAAGTAAAATAGAAGATTATATTATTACAGAGCATGGATATCATGTGAGACATAATTTTATCCGCCACGAAATGATTCTATAATGAAATTCCCATTGGTCGGTTGTACACATTTTGAAAAGGAACTATGTTGGCAGAATGCAAACAGTCAAAATACTCACACGACATACTGAATAAAAAGAACAAAGTTGACTTCATGTCCTAGGAAATCGAAATTTGGTAGTTGTTATCTTTTCCTACATCCTCAATCTCCCAATATAATTCCCTCATTGTGAGAGGGATCATCAAATTTTTCTAATATTTGAAAATAATGTCATCGACTGATAGAAAATGAAGATCCCTCTATACATATGCAAAATAGAGTGATGGCAAGACAAAAACTGTAACATTCCAAAAATTTCTAAGCGAAGATATGAATCATTCTTTATTTGCGTATAAGGTTGTATCGTGTGATACTTAAATCATGCTTAGGTTTTAAGGTCAAATCTTTAGTGAGGGAATAGATTTGGAGATGAATTAAGGTCAAAAGAATTCTCAAGCACAAAGTTGAGTAGACAGTTTCCTTACCAGTTAATCTTTTGTAACATATCGCAAATTGAAATAACTAGGAAGGAGTTAATAATTGGAAATAGTCATTTTTGGAAAGATGAAAATCTGGAAATTTTGTTAAGTTAGAATAAGTTGAGTTTTGGTCAACTTCAAATGGCCATAACTCCTAGCTCAGGATAAATTAGGTGTACTTCCAGATATGGTAGGAAATCTCTTGGAATAATATTTCCAATGCCGCCAAGTTTGCGCGATTCCGAGTTCATATGAGTGAGATATCCCTTTTGGAAGTTGGTCTGTTTGAATTAGGAAAGTCTAATCCAAATTTTTGGAAGGGTATTTTAGTCTTTTCCTTACCAATTATTTTAATTCGTTTTTAGGAGTTTAATTTGGGGAAAATTTAGATTTTAGTCAGTTTAGAAAAGTTGAAGATCACGCTAGGTCTTGGAGAAAGGAGAAAATAGGAGAAAGGAGAAGAGAAATCAAGAATCGTCAAGAACGTTTGAGTTTAGCTTGTGGATTTCATCAAGGGGTGATCCCTACGAGGTATGTGAGATCACATAGCGATGATTTTAGTTCACCCACGCGCCAATCATGATTCAATTCAGAAAAGTTTATTAGATTCAAAAGTAAATCCCTTGAATTCTTGATGAAGTTCGTTTGAATCCCTATGGGTTGTGTTGTTGGAGTTTGCTTGAGATTAATTCATGTTTTTAGGAGTGTTTTTTAGTAGAATCTGATGTATATTGAGGATATAAATGATTCTAAGTGTTTGGGGAAACAAACAATTGAGTTTGGAGGGTTTAGAGATGAAAAACGGAGAAGAAAAGTCACCAAACACCTGGGGATAGGGGTGGGGCGTCGCGCCAGCCAGAGCGCCCCAAAAGGGTCTCTGAATCTTCACCCTTGGGGTTTCGCACCAGCCAGAGCTCCCCATACCAGTCCCTGAATGTTGAAGGCTGGCGCCCCGTGCCTCTCAGAGCACCAGGGACGCCAATTCTCCCCATTCGTTCCCCATCTTGTCGTACTTGTTCCTTAGCAATGTGCCTATGTTTCTTAGTTGATTCCAACACTCTTAGGTACACCTAAACATCATGACATCATCCATAAGCATGAGATCATGAACCTCATCCATAATTCAATTCAATTAAAGTTAAGAGTCAAGTCTAGAATTTAAGAAGCAAGTCAAGAAAAGTTTATAAAAGTTTTCAAAAGTCTTTCACAAACATTTTAACTTGACTTAAGTTTCGAGTTAAGCAAAGAGTAAAGAGTTGAGTTCATTTCTCAAAAATCTATAAGGAAACTAAGTATTCCCAAGAGTTTAAAATGTTTTAACATTTGAACAAGAAAGGGAACATCGATTCCAAGAGAGCTTTTAACCTACGTTTTGAGAAATTATCTCAAACCAAAGAAAAGTTTGTTTTAAAAACATATGAGCTAAGTATATTTTGGGAGTAGAATTGAGCACCGATATGGGGATGCGAGTTCATATTAACTCAAGTCTCCATAAACCATGTAGCCATCATGGTTAGTAAAGGATCGTACATTTTAGATGACTCCTTAAGTTGCTTTTTAGCATAGATTAGTGGATCCACTTAGTTAAGGCGTTATATATGACAGTAACGTATAGGACAGTTCTGGCAGCGTGGACAAGACGTTGTATCACCACTTAGGCTCATACTGGTGGTTGTCGGTTATAGAATCTCCCACATAAACTATATTACTTTAGTAAATGAGTAAAGTTGAGTTTGTTATTGCATTTTCTTTAAGGAACTAGGATATTTTCCACTGTTTTACAAGCTTTCTATATATTGCGTATGTTTTATTGCTTTATATTGAGTTAAGTTATTCAGGTGTTGAGTAAAGTCAAGGTAAGTGTTCCTTTCAGACTCTTTTCAAGTCTATGTTGTGTTTAGCATTCCAACTCGCATACTCGTACATTTAATGTACTGATGCCAGTTGGCCTACATCTTATTATGATGCAGATTTAGGAAACCAGGATCATCACCCAGTGCCTCATTGATCCAGTTGAGCACTCAGAGTCAGTTGGTGAGCCTCCTTGCATTTCGGAGGACTCCTTTTACTTTGCTTTCAGTATTTCATTATTAGGATGATCGGGGGTCTTGTCCCGACATCCCTCTTTATTTTAGAGGCTTCATAGACAGATAGTATTAGTTCTGTAGTCTTATTCATTTCATATGTATACGTTTTAAGACTTGAGTTGCCGTTTTGGCTAAGATATTATTTCTTAAGTTATTGCATGAGTTATACTTCTTGTGTTTAACTCTTTCGCTGAGTAAGTAAGCCAGGCCAAGGGTTCTCTTGGGGCCAACAATGGTTCTCGAATGCCATCCATGTCTGGGGTGTACGCTCAGGGTGTGACAAACTTGGTATTAGAGCACAAAGTTCAAGAGTCCTAGGGAGTCTATGAAGCCGTGTTTGTAGAGTCCTAGTTATCGTTGTAAAGCGCGCCACATCTATAATTAGGAGGTTCCAACACTTAGGAAACTTTCTCATTTATTTCACACTCATTTTGTGCGTTAGAGTTTGATCTCTAAAAAGTTTCTTTCTAATTCGTGCTTACACGTATTTTTACATAATCATGCCTCCATGAAGAGCTGTCAGAGGTCGTTCTTCTATGCATAATATTGAGGAGCAAAGGGTACCTAATGCACCTGAAGTGCAACCCCAAGGAGTGGTTACCAATGATGAGTTCCGTGAGGCTATCTGGATGTTGAGCCAAGCTGGGACTAATCAGGTTGGGCAACAGAGAGGAGCTAGACAGGAAGTGACTGATACTTCGAGGATCCGAGAGTTCTTAAGGATGAATCCTCCAAGTTTCACGGGTTCAAGCAATACTGAGGATCCAGAGAGTTTTGTTGAGGAAATGAAGAAGGTATTTGAGGTTATGCATGCTGCCGATACTAAGAGAGTTGAACTAGCAGCATATCAACTGAAGAATGTTGCTAGGACTTGGTTTGACCAATGGAAAGAGGGTAGAGCTGAGGATGCACCACCTGCGAGTTGGACATGTTTTGAGGGGGCCTTCTTGTGGCATTTCTTCCCCCCGAGAACTAAAAGAGGCTAAGCTACGAGAATTTATTACCCTTAAGCAGGATTCCTTGAATGTTTATGAGTATGAATTTCATCAAGGGGTGATCCCTACGAGGTATGTGAGATCACATAGCCATGGGTAAGTTCACCCATGTTCCAATCATGATTCAATTCAGCAAAGTTTATTAGATTCAAAAATAAATCCCTTGAATCCTTGGTGAAGTTCGTTAGAATCCCTGTGGGTTGTGTTTTGGAGTTTGCTTGATATTGACTCATGTTTTTAGTGGTGTTTTCAAGTAGAATATGATGTATATTGAGGGTATAAATGATTCTAACTGTTTGGGGAAAGAACCAATTGAGTTTAGAGGTTTTAGAGATGAAAAACGGAGAAGAAAAGTCGTCAAACACCTGGGGATAGGGGTGGAGCGTCGCGCCAGCCAAGGCACCCCAAAAGGGTCTCTGAATCTACACCCTTGGGAGTCGCGCCAGCCAGCGCGCCCCAAACCAGTCCTTGAATGTTGAAGACTGGCACCCTGCGCCTCTCAAAACGCCAGGGACGCTAGTTCTCCCCATTCATTCCCCATCTTTTTGTACTTGTTCCTTATTAACGTACCTATGTTTCTTAGTTGATTCCAACACTCTTAGGTAAATCTGAACATCATGAAATCATCCAACAACATGAGATCATGAACCTTGAATCCATAATTCTATTCAAGGAAAGTTAAGAGTCAAGTCTAGAAGTTAAGAAGCAAGTCAAGAGAAGTTTATAAA